AGAAATCTAAGATCCGACCTAAAAAGGTTGTAGCGCCACTGATGTATTTTTTAATAAATAAAGGTTTAGTAAAAATATTTGATACGTCATTCGAAAATCACTTAAACCAACGACAAAAGCAGACGTCAATGGACACAGATTGTCAAGTCCTCACCCCGGGGTCACCATTATAGCATTCGTTACTAAGTCATAGATCCTGTCAATTATGACCTTTTCAACCTTAGATAAGTATGAATGGCCCTTAATAAACCCAAATTACGATGAGTCAATCAGAATACATAAAATAATATTACATCAATTTCAGAAATTACACGACGGCGACCCTTTAATCTAGAACAACACGTAATTAACCGTGACACTGTGAGGTTGTAACCCACGCCCACGATTCGCCTCCACTAATTAGGAAACGCACGCGCAAGTGGAAAACAAAGGAGACCTCAGATTCTATTGATACAAGTCCAGACAATGAAAACAAGAGCACGTGTCAACAAAGAAATTGCAACAAGTCACAATGACCACGCGTCATTGCCCTGTCGACATTATGACATATACATTGTGTCAATCGAGATCATTTATCATGAATATGACAAAGTCAAAGGCTTTGATGTAACACAATCTTGACTTTTGAATAAATCTTCAGATATGCAAAACTCGAAATAATTTCATTGCAAGCGTACAAAGACAACTACGCACTGTGTCTAATATTAGCATAGCCATAAAATAAGCGCATCGAGTACACGCGAACAAAGAGATTTTAAAATAAAATATTGACGTCTTGAAGCGAACAGAGGGAAACTAAGAATGCCCATTTAACCCTAATAAAGGAATATTTCAAAGGAAAGAGCGCTCGATCATCGGTTCACGAATCACGGCGCATTTTAATGCCAATCCAGCGTCCATCTTTGTTTCCGAGCTCTCGAAATCATAAAACGAGGATTCTAAGAAAAATCCTTGATCGGCGATTAAGTGAGAGCCCTTGTTAATGGTTTCTAAAAATAAAACGTCTTGATATTATCTGAGTAGAGCAAGAACAAGCAATGTCACTTGAAAAGGTTGATTAGATTTTTCATTTTCTCTTTACAAATAATGGTTTTTCATGAAGATCTGTGGCCGAGAAGGCAGCTGGGGATTCTCACATCTCCCTTTTCCTAAAAGGGACTTTATTTAATTTAAAATTAAGTCTGGTGGGCTTGGCGTCATCCGGACCCGTGCGACAACAACTCCGGAAATATCCTCATGATATTTATGGGCGATTCATAGCCCGCTGGACCCGTGTTGCCTCTTGTGCTATCCATTAATAACTGGTTAACGTAGGGGAAGTTTCAGAGTACAGATCGCTAAGTAGGAATACCGTTGGGCAAAGAAATTTGCCCTACCCTAAGACAATGTAATTCTTATATATATACCCAGCAAACGTGTTTCGTTGTGTAAGGTTTCACTAAGAAACCTGACGTGACTAATTTTCGTCTGCTAATCACAAAGAAGCATTACCTACTTAGCCTTACTAATCAATACGAAGGCTCGGGTTCGTTCGTGATCTGAATTTATATATTAGCGAATACTCTTTCGAGGGAGTTGTAATTGTGCAACACTTGTTACATATATTATTATGTTACGTATTCATTAACACAAACTCTTCAACGAATTTCGATTCATATGCGAATCCCTATTTGACAAAATCGAATACATTTTTGACTCACCACAGTCATACTAAACATAATATTACATTGAGAAAAGACCCAAATATTTGTGAAATCTCTAAAAATACTGGACCGATTTGAAATAAATATAACTTTTAGAATGCTTCTTGTTTCCCCGAACATAGGCACTATTTATTGCCAAAAAATTGGTAAAAATTGAAGCTGGACTGCTAGTTACATATACAATAAGATATATTATTAAGCTTACAGTGACCGCATTATAAATGAATATATATTAGGAAATTGCAATTGCCATATGTTTTAAACTAACAAAAAGTACTCCCCACAGCAAGGATAGTTTACATTGTAATGATGAAGAATTCAAAAGTTTCCATCGTAGCAATAATATTGCAAGCGCTTCCTGCTTTTTTATAAGTGAGGAGAAATGGATGAAAAAGCAAAAAACAAATTTGATTGTAAAAGTATGGAATTAAAGTGGCTTATTATTATTATTGATTTTTAATATATATTAAAGCAAGAGTAAATCATGAGAACGTTGTGGCGAATATATCTATGCCAGATACATGAGGGGATAACTGCCACTACACTATATTCAACGGAAGCACTTATTTCTATTTCGGCTCCGATGGGAAACTTCATCGGAATAAATTAATGGGTGGTTTTAAAAATATATTTTTTTAAACGTTACAAGAAAACTTCCATTATATTATTGATCGTACATAAGGTAATATTTTATATCGGTATTTATGAGTGATAATAGTAAGTACATATTAATTCTTCATACCATTTAAAAGACGGGCATATATATTAAATGTAAAGGTCTTATTTTTTCATATCTATACAATTAAAATCCATCGTAAAAAATTCTCGGAAAACCTAAAACTTTTTTTTTTTTTTTGAAAAATCCAACACTATGGCGTAGTATAGTATAATGTTCTATATGTTGATATGTAGTTACTAAAAAGGTAAGCTTAGTTTAGTAATAAATTGAACAATTGTGACGGTTGCGTTTTAATCCAGCAAAGCTGTATCATAATCATAAATTTCAATGTTTTTACTGAAACGTCGGAACAGAGTTATTGAATAATGAAACGTTATACAATAACGAGATTAAATTTAATAAAATTGCAGTTTTCTTTATAGTAGGCTTAGTTTTATTAGTATTATGCATCTTGAATGGCAAATACATATTTTATTCAAATTCCTGTATTTAAAAGTAATTTAAGCGCTTTTACGCAATAATTGCATTGTACTTGATCCATCCATGATGGAAAATTTAATTATTTTCTTGTTTATTGAGTCATAACATGCGCCTTTATTGTAAAGAGGCAATAAATTATCCACCTCGTTAATGTGTCTTAAATAAAACACTCGGCGCGGAAAATGATTTGTTAGTCATCGCTTTGTACCCTGAAACTCTTATTAAAACAAAGAGATTTATTGCAAATTTTATTCTTATTCCATTGTACGAGAAACATTTGCCAAAATACACTATGCACTTCTTTCTAGTATATATTCATTAATCTTGCAACTTCTCAAAAACTTCACAAAACCCAACCTCCACAGATAGTTTAAAGTAATTTATTAATACATAGTTTTTTCCATAGACTTTTTTGTATAAAACAATATGACAAGGTACTAACCATTTGATACTGGAAGTTAGTCGTATAAGAAAAAATATGTTCAATAATTTCGTAGCGAACGCATTCCTTTTTTGAAACCGTTAACATTTATTAAAACCTTTTTATTCCAAACAAAGAGCACAGGATATATAGATCACGAGTGGTTTTCCGAAATGAAAGTTAAAGGGAGACAATCGAAGGGCGACGATATTGAACAGCTGACGCTCTGCGCCTCAGGGAACAGTGAAAAATGTGTTATAATTTATTTTATTATACTCGCTTTTATTTCGAATGTGCCAATGCGAGAGATAAATATATTTTAATATTGTTTATAAATGTTTTATTTGCATGTAAGGATTTATTGTGTTGCTAGTTAACGACACTTTTCAGTCTAACAAATTAATTGCGTTCGAGCGGCATATTAGAAAAACACAAATACAAAATATCAAAAAACTTTTAGACTCATTAAATTGTTTGGTAATCGATGTTTCCTTTTATATTTTACATGTATTTTGTCCAACTGCATATTACTTCGACATTTGGTCGTTTAATAATAAAAGTTGATCGCAGCGAACCAAAAGAAATGTAATTAAAAAACCCAATACACACAAATCTATTCAATATACGTCGATATCGCTCGGATGAAAGTAATAAATCGCAATTCTGTCGAAAATATGACGGCACGACGTGGCCAACTGAAAAATGACATGTAACTGCTGAAACGACGCGCGATCCCTCACCGTGAAATTGTAAATAAACGCTGACGATTTTTCAATGTTGCACCTAGACTTTTTTAATCGCTTTTTATTTGGAGGTGACAGGTCGATCACTTTTATGCGTATCCGCAAAAATTCGAAATTCAAAATATTTTACAATAAAATAGACTTTGTAGCATACTTCTTAACACATACGGCTGTGTCCCGTTTATGGGTTATAGAATACTTTCATAATAAAATGTAAGTATTATGTAAATTTTATTGTCAAGTATTGTTATCATGTCAAAAGGAAGAGACTAGCTGCCAACTACACAAGGGACCCAAGGGACCCTAGTGTGGCGGCTAGTGTAGGTACTTTCTTTTTTTCATTATCTATAATAAAGTTTCCTTTCTCTTCTCTTCTTCAAATACGAAATGTGGCAAACATAAATAATGATCCATTGATCGCAAAGTTCTGTAGGTATACATATTACAAATGAAGCTCAGTATAAAAGATGTTCCCGGTATAAAGACACACATTGCGTCACCTATACCCTTCTGAAAGTCATAACCCATCCACGTGCAATGAATTGAATATTTCGAACAACTAAATTTAACCGTAGAATATTTTTATTATAAATTTAACATGCAAGAACTTAACTTAACTTACAAAAACACCATGTAATATTATTTGACCCTCCGCTTGATGGACAGTTTTAATTATGTACCAAATTAAAGTCCGGACCCCACGAACATTCTCAGGTATGATTTTTTGCAATCAACAATATATTCATTTGTTGATTCAAAGTTAGATATAGAAAATATAATAAAGAATACCTAGATTAATAATATAATCATAATCCCGAATAATTCATAAATAAATCTAGTAAACGTCACAGGTGTTATTAAATTTTATATTTTAGCTTCAGCATTTGTACCAGGATAACATAAGAGTATAGGAGAAACACGGGTCTCGGCCCCTTACCGTTAGAGGTCAACGCACCAGTTAAACTTGAAACGACCTAGAATCTACCTATTATAAAAGGATACATTTCTTGGAAGAAGTCGAGACTTGGCGGCTGAAGGATGTCCAACGCCGAGAGTACCTGGAAGAATTAATTATAATAATAAATTATTATAAAAAGTGACATTCAACATATGACATTTATTTTTAATTAATATCTTATTCCGAGCTTTTATAAATCAACCCACATGAAACCGGCTCCCTTTGAGAATGTAAGTGCATGCTCCTATTTCACCATGCCTACTGCTGATAGAGGATAACTTTGTTTTGTTTTCGTTTATATATTTTTGTATTATTATAGTTAATTACTAAAAGATGTCATGTGGAACATGGCGTAATGGTTGCAGCTCAAAACTGCAAAACAAACTTCGCGATTAAAAAGAGTGTCAGAGAGTTTATTGCCAGTTCTTCTCGTCGGTTCTTAGTCCTTTAAGAACTGACAGTTAATATGTATTTCTTTATTGCCGTTCATAAGTGCACATTGTGTTACCTAAATTAATAAATGATTTTGGATTTGAATTTGAAATACACGCTAATCAAAGATCATTATCATTCATCATCACTATCAAAAGGCCAACTTTCCGGTTCATTAATTCGATTAGGGACACAGTATTTCCTGATATATCCCACGCTCCCATTTCGCGTGGCACTGACAAGTACTTAGTGCAATTCCAATGTATTGGTGTGGGACATACGCACACAATCATCCAATTTTCGCGATGCAAATCCTGTTTGTTCGCGGCGACAAATGCAATATAACCGCAAACGATTCGATGATCGATAGAGTACATTTTGTATGGACAAATTGCGAAGCGGCCGCGTCATTATGTGATTATGAATATCACAAATATTGAACAAAAGAATTTTAAATTACAAATTTGAACATTAAATTAAATATTGGTATTGCACAAAATGGCAAATTATAATATTTTTTATCTCATCCTCGCCTTTAAACAAAACCTAATACCTAACCTAAATTAAAGCAGAGATCTTTTCATGACAAAATTTGAGAGAAAGGAACGAATTACTACTTTTATTTAAGTGTGATAAGACTAAATTATTTTTTAGACTTTATTATAATTCTGTGGCCATAGGTCAGAATATGATAAATGCAATTTCATTACTTTACAGGACAAGCAAGTAAATTATTAAAAAATCTTGAAGGCACTATTAAAATATGAAACACTCGGTATATGGATGAATTAATGTTTTTATCATTGTCTGATCTATGACCACAGAATTATATACATACGTTTTCATGTTTGAAGAAGCACAGCATTTTTAGCTCGCGGAAGACGCGCTTGGAGGAGACGAGCGACTGGAACACATTGGGCAGCTTCTTGAGGGCAACACGCCGCCCATCACGAGGGTCCGTCACCGCCCTGTTGACAAATTTTATGTTAAATAAATTATTTAGTCTAATACATTGGTAAAAATATGGCCTCTTTAAAACTAGTTAATATCTTAACATAAACTCATTTATTCTTACTTTAATTTAAACTAAAGCTATACGTTAATTATATTTAATTAAAACTGTGTCAAGATCTAATAGAATAAGTGTACACATCTTTTAATTTTATAAATTCTTTATAAGAATCAAAGGGGTACTTAGTGGAAGGCTGAATTGATTGAATAACAGAAAATACAACATACAAAGATAAGGATATGATCTTTAATATAAACATTGTAATAGAATGCTATTATTAAATTTCTGTATTAAAAAAGTTGTAACATTTCGAACAAACAGTACCGCATATTGCATGTAATAACTATGCTGAATGTATGAAAAATATTCGGTTCGAGCTGAATTGATAGAAAATTATGAAGTGATAAATTCTTTTGACAGAACTTTAACCATAGTCGTGAACCACATCCATTAAGACAGGTCTTATTTGACCGATCGACAAAGACAGGAAATATTGTTCAGGTCAAGTGATCACTGCAGTTCAACAACTTCAACTTCTATTCAATGTTAATTATATTTATAGCGAAGTGTTTTGATGACTTTTTATTAATTGTATAAGGTGTTGCGATTCTTATAAGGTTTGTTTATGATAAGAATATATATGGTGTATAAGCCGGTGTGTAAACTTGGCTGTTTACTTTGAGTTAAAATCTTTTTACTACTTATAATCCACGATCTTTAATAAGTTCCTCTGTCTTTAAATCTGAAAAGTGAAAACCTATAACTTATGGCATGGCAGAGTTGTATAATTTTTTTATGAATTCAAAACCGTATTTTTTGGCTGGTCATTGCCCTCAATATAATTATACGAGCCAAGGCTGTACATTTTGCTCACTCAGGCTTTCTTAGTTTTTTGCTTGGCGAGTTCCTAAATCGTCGGAGTTACGCCCCGAGAGTATAGCCAGACGTAGGCACTCTCTTCGACTGTTACATTGCATTCATTAGTTACATAGCAATTTCGCTTATATTATATTGTTGTTCGCGATTGGTTAATATAGAGTAAAAATAAATCCTCAATTATTTTAAGCACACCGATGACCCAGGCAACCTTAATGATATTTTTAAATATTGATGCGTGCAAATATTACACATAGACGCTAAAAGTAATTATATTAATCACTGGATTAGGTACTTGTTTCGCTCAAATACTAATACAATTAATATAAGAAATAACTAACATAATTCAGTACAGGTTATAATGTATACGTAGAGGGATAAAGATAAATATTATTTTACGAAGTTAATTCCAAAGAAGGAAATCCACTGAAACTAGAGAAACGTATAGGAAATTGTTTGTTAATCGACAACACAGCACTCTATTTATTGAAGTTTACTTGAGCGTGAGGCGAGCGTAAATAAAGAACTAAAGTACCGTGACAAAAGGCGATTTGCTAAGAATTTAATACAATATCTAAAAAGGTATTAAGTAAAAAAGAGTATAATCTTTTTAATCGCTATTTATTAGATTCTTTATATAGAATATAGATAATAAGTTCTGTTGTTTTAAACTAAACTATAAATAAATCAGTGGCGCTACAACTCTTTAGGTCTTGGCCTCAGATTTCTGAATCTGTTTCATGATCATTTTTTAAATGTAATGGGCAAGTAGGTGATCAGCTTCCAGTGCCTGACACACGCCTTCGACTTTTTGGGTCGAAGACATGATATGTCACGATGTTTTCCTTCAACGTTCGAGCAAATTTTAAATGCGCACATAGAAAGAAAGTCCATTGGTGCACAGCCGGGGATCGTACCTACGACCTCAGGTATGAGAGTCGCACGCCAGTAGGCCAACACTGCTCTAAACTATACATATACAAACTAAACTATATATTATAAAGAAGGGGTTATCTCTCGAATACTCAACAGATTTTGAAGATTGTTCTACCAACCGAAAGCTACGATATTAGTGTGTGTTATAGGCTATATATTAAAAATAAAAAGACTTTTTCATGGTAGTCGGAGATAAACGGTCGAACTAAAACTTATGAACGCTGCTTTAATGATGAGATTTTTAGATACAGAGAAAAGTCCTACGCCGCGTCAGCGTCCCCGATTGTGATAAACTTAAAAAGTACTGCACTGAATTTATTGCGGTCCGTCAATATCCAGAATGATTCTTGACGGTTTAGTTATACAATATTCCAATGTTTACCGGGCCGTGTGAAGCCGGACGGGAGTCAAGAATGCACCACAGGAAATAAATAAATTTACAATTTCGATTATTAAAAGTTTTTAATTTAACACAATTTATCTATATATATATATATACCTAATTATATATAATCTAATCATAATTAATAAAAAAATTACTGTTAAGCATAACGTATGTAAGTAAACATAGGTATATATATATACTCAAGGGCAAGGACGTTCGCCATTAATTCCATTTACCCAAGTCTGAACCTCACACGCGTCTTATCTCACCATAATTTTTCCTTATTCCTTCATTTTCTCCGGCTATATTTTTAGCGTAAAAATATTGTTCAAGCAGCAAAAGATTAATAACCAAGAGTATATTTAGGCGATAATAATTTGCTAAAATTATGAATATTTGGAATTTTAAAATGTAGTAAATAATATTTTGTAAACTAACTAAGGCATAAATAGCTTTCAATTTTATTTTCGTATAGCAAAAGGACGATGTATTGAAACCTATAGTAAATTAGACATATATAATATATACCTATATCTATATATAAAATTCTCGTGTCACAAAGTTCGTTCCCATACTCCTCCGAAACGAAACGGTTCGACCGATTCTTATCGTCTATTCTTACAATTCTTATAGTCTAGAATCGGCTACTATCTGTATTTCAAACTTCTAAGTGATAAGAGGGGGGGGGGGTGTTATAGCAGCATCGGAGAGCATGTATTTAATTAATTTACAATAAAATACCCACTTAACTGACTACGGCAGTTTCCTGTACGTTTTTAATTTGGTTAAAATGTTTAATTTCACGCTGTTCCTTTCTTTTAAAATACCTAGTATGTCACTTAAGAAGTGATATTAGTTTTAAGCCATTCTTTCGATTGGCATCATAAAAGTGTCATGTTGGGATGTTTTTTTTTACATTTAAGTCGGTTCGATTCCCAGACGAGGCAAGAAATTTCTAGGAAATCTTTGAATTCAGAATTACTAACTTTTAAAAATAAACATATAGTCTTCATTCAGTAAAATACCCTATCTACGATATTTAAGGTACTTTTCCTTCATGTCCCATAACTTTGGGACGCCCTGTATATACATATTTATATTACTTTGAAAAACATTCTACTCTATATAAAAAAACTTCATCACACGAAAATTCTCAAAATAACATGACCGCGACAATAGTGATTAGAAACTTTAAAAATAATTTTTGTAACAGGAAACAGGGAACTGTGTCAATGCCGGCGTTACGTTGTTTTGTGACAGTTTCATTCGATCCCTCAATGTCGACAGGTACGAATATGCGATTATTTTCGTACTGCAAAGCCCTTTGCGTAACAAAACAAGCGTATCCTGTTACTGTATTTTTATTTCGTATGACCACACGAAATAAAAATACAGTAAGGGGATTTGTCTAGAAAATTAATAGGTCAGAAAATAGGCGAATGTGTAAGTACAAATCGTATTGATATTTTATGGTAGTGTCCAGCTGGATTGGGTGGTATCTCCCATCACAAAAATATATTTTGCTCAAAAACTTAACATTTAATGATCAGCCATATGTAATTATTGATTAAAGGAATTAATTATTTGTATTATTTTGAAATCAATTTATATTCTCCCTGAATATAAATTATTTTATCAAGTAAGTAATAAATAGTAATTGTTATCTCTCGCCTCCGATCATCGACTACAAATCATGTGTTGATGTCACATTGCCAGAATGCTCGCAAGTGCGCAGCCTTTTAAGCATTGGTACGCTCTTTTTTTGAAGGAGCCTAAGTCGAATTGGTTCGGAAATACTTCAATGGGCAGCTGGTTCCACATAGTGGTGGTGCGCGGCCAAAACTGCCTTAAGAAACGCTCAGTTGTAGAACGACGGACGTCAAGATGATACGGTTGGTATTTTGGATTGGTTTTTACGAAGGTTGTTATATAAGAAACTTTTGAATTAAAGCATTAAATACGCTCAATATATAAATAACTGAACCACGCACTTTTACTTTATCAAACTACTGATTAAGCTTATATTCCATAAAGTTAAAGCACAACTCGCAGACTATTCAATACACTTTAAACTCTGTTCTCGCTAAATTTATCTTTTACCTGTGGCCGTATTCCGGTAATAACCTAAGTTAATAAATGCTACAATTTAAATGCTAAATCACCAAGTTATGAGAAACATTTTGGGACGGTATAGGACCTATATTAATTAAGTCTTAGTAGCAAAACGCTTTAGATTGAAAAATTATTATATTCAAAAATAACGCAAGAAAAGATACGCAAATGGTGATAGACGTATTAAAAAGATTGAGAAAAGAAAATTATTTGATTGAGAAACTTAAGTGAAAGAATAGATTTTCTTTTCTTTTTACGTAGTAGGTAGTATAAAATATATCGGGCCACACATGTTCGCGTCTGATCCAATTTTCTTCAATCTTAGAAGTCCATGACCTCAGTATCAATGAGTGGAGGCGAGATCCGACAGATTTACTGGCTAGAGTCACGGGCCGGTTCCGTCAACTTCAAATTTAATCAAAATTAATAAACCGATTTGCAGAATAATCTCAGCATTTCCAAAAATTTGACGAATACGACCTTCATATAGAATTGTCTTTTATTAACATAACTTTTACACATTTAAAGAAAACACTTTTTTAACGGATTGAAGCTATGTATTTTTTATAAACGTATAATTATTTTACATGATTTAAAAAAAAAACAGACGTTTCGCGTGCTTTACAGCGTGCGTGGTCACGGTGACTGAAGACAAAAGGTGTTGAATGTCAAAAAGTGTCACAGCTGTAGAAAAAGTTATATTATGTGTATTTATTTCCCCGGAGTTGATATCGACTAAAAGATGAAGCGTTTTTGCAGAAATGACTCACCGGTGTCCTCTACGATCTTCATATTCCATTCATAAATCATCATTTTATGTAATTATTTATCTTTGACCAAAACAATCAATACAAATAAAAATATTGTTAACTTTTTAGTGCGTTTGAGAGCCGGTTCTTTTTTTTAAAGCAATTTTTAAATTTTGTCACTAGGTTATGGAACCACAGTCAAATCTGCATACCCAAACATAATCAATATATTAGTATATATACAATAACACTATTATTATAAATGGAAATGTGAATAGAGCCATTCGGTCTCGCCAGGAAGTCGCTTCAGTGCAATTAGAGGTGCTTGACCCAATATTGTTTCTGACCATGATGTCATCATTATACCTGGTCCTTTTAACATTCAAATCTAACATTCAAAGTTGCATATTTAATATAAAAATAATGAAACATATTTGGTATTTACAAAAATAAATTTATTGCAATAGATTTATTACATAAATAATCTGTTATCTAAATCGAAATAAAATGTTTGGTAGTTAAATTTAAGCTAATCACTAGTATTGTAGAAAATTAAGTCAACATAATATATTATATTAGCCATAATCATTGTATCGGCTAGATGGTAATTCATGAAAAGGCGCACTCTCTTTTGTGAACTTAATTGTAAAAATAAAAAGAGTTTGGTAGTTTCTAACACGAAAATTGCTTACACAAAACAATTATCACTTATAATACCACAAGAGCTTCAAAATTTCATTCCCGATGGTTCGTTGCAAACAAATGAAGGAGTCAATTTTCCAAAAATAACGAGCGCTGGCGCCGTGATTTTTTACGTAAATTAACACATTGTACGACTTTATTTTTTTTGGGGGGCCTTTGGGGGGATGCCCGTTTTTTTTGGGGCTCGGTTGGTTTTTGGGGGATTATTTTTCCGACCCAAATGTCGGCCAATAGAATTGCACCATGAGACGAAATGTACAGTTAACAAATAAGAATTTCATAATGAATAAAACAACTACTTAATACTTTTCTTGAAGTAATTTGGCAGTCTGATTCCACATTGTTTTTATTGTACCTTCCTTATAGTCTTCTCCATCCATTTTCTTCATATTGTAAGCGTAATCTTTCATAATGTTTGCCAATTGCGCTTCACTCGTTTCAGCACTCAATGTGTATTCCCTCTCAGTACAAAAAGTAGTAAATTGGTTCCAAACTGTTTTTTTTGACTTCTCCGTATTAATGGGAACATTTCCTTTGACTTTTTTATCGATGGTGGACAGAGAACAAACTCCAAATCGACTCATTTTCATGCAAAATCTCCAATTTTCACAATTGAATTCAACCTGTCAGTTTGACGTGTGGTTAATTTGACTGGATCATGTTTTTTTTTTATATATAGCAACTACCAGAGAAAATTTTCAAAAAATTATCAGTATAATACCATGTAGGTTGTACCACGTGACGTCGAATGGTGCAATTCTATTGGTCGATATTTGGGTCGGAAAAATAATCAAGAAAAATCATTGGTTCACCAAAGTCAAAAATCATTTACGTATATTAACACAATGTACACTTATAAACGTCAAAAAAGAAATATACATTAAATGCTTCTAATTTTACATTTCCCTTCAGTTCTCAAATCAAGGGAGTAGAACGGAAGCGAAGAACTGGCAATAAACTATCCGCCACTCTTTTCTCAAAGGTTCTCACTATTGCTCAATTTGATTCATCAATCAAATTCTTATAGTCTCATTAATTTCCATGCTTTTACAATTAGAAATAAAACGATATTTGTATCAAAAACGGCACTTAACAAAAATAGAAATATAATCCGCGAGTGGTCTATTTACGTAATAACTCATTGAACCTAACTTAACCTACATGTTTTCATCTCGGCCCCGTTTCCTCGATACGTGGGGCTTCTTTTGACGTATTTATAATTATTACGCTAATCACAATATAACACACACACAAACGCTTTCTATACCTCAAATATCTGCTGTATTTTTGTCCTTTTCACTCAAATTGTAAATAAACGTGACACAAAATTCTAGGCCTATATTAAAAGGTGAATAAAATTACTATATACACTAACGTGTAATTAACACGTCGAAATGATAACCTCCTTGTTCGGTTAAATTATTCACTTAAGAAACTTAAATTATAGGTGTTAGAAAGAAGTCACTAGGAAATGATTAACGAAACCCAATAAGTAAATTTTAAAACATAATGATGAACGTCGAGTCCATTTTCGAATTGCCCCTCCTAACAATCAAATTGACCCCCTGAGGGGCGTGGGCCCCACGTTGGGCGACACTGGTCTAGTTCTTTCAATTTACTAAAATATAATTTTAATATTGAACGTAACAATTGTTCCATAGCTTTACCTACTGTAAAAGTCGAAAAACAAAATGTATGTATGAATCGTTTTAACCACGATTTAACTATTCTTTTTTATCACTAAAAACTCGAGCTGCTGCAACATATTGAGCACAACAGCTGTGCATTAATTTGACCCATTTAGTCACTTCCCGCACTTAACAATGTTGATGGATCTATCGGTATTGTTGCAGTATCTGATCCTAGCTAGGTCCGTTAAATTTTATTCATTTCAAAAATGAAGACCTATACCTGTGTTTCTGATATTGTCGGAGAATGTTTGAGTTGAGCCATTTCCACCAATAATAACCAAACAAACATTTTTATGGATGTCAACACATTCTCGGAATACATTTTTTATATATAACGGAGCAAAAGGAGGCTCACCGGTTAAGTGATACCTTCGCCCATTTACACATCCAGAAGTCTCGCAAGTGCGGTGCTGGCCTTTAAATTGATTCCTTTGATTTTAATAAGGATGTTGGAATATACTATATTCCAACATTCAACAGTCTATGTGCCATCATAATCGAGATTGGGGTATCTAGTAGGGAATGCGATCCCGACTCAAGATCGTAAATTCGAGATCCCGAAATTTTCGCGATCCCGTCTAGTTTAAAAAAATAATTAACATGACTGAATACGATGAAAACTGTATGTTTGTGATAGTGAGGTTAATTAAAACAAAATATTATTTAACAGAAAACAAAAGCATTTATCCTTTAATATTACTATTTAAACAATTAACAATTTTACTAACATGAACATAATCAAAACAAAAGTAGGTATAGCTCAAGGAGATTAAAAAAGTAGTAGATAGATAGATACTATCTACGCTATAATTTTCGTAAAATTTATTCCAAAAGTGTGACTTGAAATATCATACAAGAATACCCCGTAGAAAATACACGTAAAATTTCACCTCAAAATAAATAAAAAATGGCCCAGGAACATTTTACACGTGTCAGAATATAGATATCAAAATGTTATCTAATACAAACATAGAGAGATATGAGATAGAGAGATAATATAAAAGAATTCCAATGAACGTTTGACAGACATTTATTTCGCGCTTATACTTGCGGATTCTTAGAAACGTCCGTGATATATATCTATCGCAACGAAACGATAATAAATAACCACACTTTGTCCTCACATTTCTGTATGTTTCGGTTTTTTTCTTCAGACAAGTAGCAGATAGACCTTCAATCTAAGTCTCGGTTTCCTTCATCGTAGCGAATATAAATTATGCAAATAGACAGAAAAGGTGCCACGCCGTGATCAGAACGCACGACCTCATAAAGTAAAAAATCATTTAATCATATAGGTACACTTATGACTTCTCAGTAAAGAAATACATATTAATGCTTCTAATTTTACATTTACTGCCAGTTCTCAAATCAAGGGCGTATAACGGGAGAGAAGAACTGGCAATAAACTCTCCGCCACTCTTTTTAATCGCCATTTTTTTGTTTTACAAAATGTTTGTAAGGAGCTGCAACAATTACACCATGTCCCATGTGGGGCCCCCTTTGCCTAGGGGCGGGGGGTCCGGCCCCCTTACAATAGACCGAGCATATGACGTGATGGCAAGCATTTTTCTCGATCACAATGGTCAAGTCGTGATGGAAGTTATACCTTCGTGGAACCCTAGCCTTTTTGCTGATGGTGTGGTTGCCATGTTAAATTTTCAACTAGTAACAGTCAATAATATACACTTTGAGCCGACCTCCCGGTCCCTGCGGGGGTGTTTGTAGAGGGCTGTTCACATTTTAAGTAATTAATAATAATAACATAAATTAAAGCAGGAGGCATGGTGAAATAGGAGCACACACTTACATTCTCGTGGGAACAACACGCAAACACATAGTCGAAATAACCAACATCACCGCATACACGAATTCAAGTACGACCAGTCACCACAAGCAGCACCCGTCCACGAGCATGATAGTTGGGAGTCGCACGTTTAAACCAACACAAGCTTTAAGTAATAAAATAATAGCACTTAAATGTCTAATAATTTATTTATATAAGCTTGCCAACGCTCGGCACATCATTGGTACATCGGTACAAGAAAAATATAATGGAATATTTAATGTGACAAGCACTTATAGGCAAAACAATCATTCGTATACCAATACTAATAAGATCTATACTAAGAAGTCTTATAGGTCAAGCCGCGTCATGAGAGATTGCCGATGACGTGCGCACGCGTCACTCACAGCTGATCGCGTAAACATAGTAGAACCCACGCACACTCATTAATATTTATCTAACGCGAAATGACAACGACAGATGTAAGATAATGATTCTGTTGAGAAGTTAGTTCACACTCAATCGGTGGCGCCAGAACGCTGATCTGTTTGGTGTTTTTTTATATTCCTAATAGGGTCGGATTAGAGAATAGTATATAAAAGAGGTTGTCACACATGCGCACGGGCAATTCCTTTGTTCAAGTTTGAAGTTATGATTTACCTAAAATCAGTGAAGTGAATTATAATGAATCAAGTCATCATTGGAGTGTTTATTTTCCTACCCTAAGAACTAGGTCAACTAGCCCTTACAGAAGTTAAATTAATTGTAAATTTAAATTTACTACCAGTTTGCAAGTCAAGGACGTAGAGCGGGCAAGAAGAACTGGCAAGAAACTTTCCGCCACTCTTTTTAATCGCTAAGTTTGAGTCATACA